TAGAGTTAGGTAGATCTTCCTCAGTGCGCTCTCCTAGCGCTCACATGCTTTTTATAGCTTTTCCCCTAAAGAGTTTTAATTATTTATTTAAATATGTGTGTGCTTGTATCTGTATGCATGTGTATGTTTATACAGTCACATATACACCTTTCCCATTAGACCGTAAGCTCAGTAAGAACAAGGAACTGTGATATTTACCTGAATGCTTCCCCAGCTTAATGCCTTAAATACTGGAAGTGCTTAATAAATGTTGAATAAGTGAATGAATAACAAGTGTCAAATGAACTCATTTTGTGCAGGGCACTATGGGGGGTTGTAAACATGAATACGACTGGTCTGTCTTCAAGGACCTAACCATGTAATCAGGGAAACAAGGAAGACACGAGTAAATTGCAAGCCTCCTCAAATGAGTACTTGAAGTTAAAGGGAGGGATGAATTCTCATGAATGAGATATTTTGCTAAGTTTACAGATGAGAGGATTTTTTTTTTCTTGCTTGTACCAGGTATTGTGAGGGATATGTATGATGATAAAATATGGTCCCTGACTTTAAGTGTTTTACAGTCAAGTAGGGCCTTAGAGCAGGGATTGGCAAACCATGGCCTGTGGGCCAAATCTGGCCCTTCACCTGTTTTTGTATAGCTCATGAGCTAAGAATGGTTTTTACATTCTTTAATTGTAAAAAAAAAAAAAAACCCAAAACAAAAGAATATTTCGTGACACATAAAATTATATGAAACTCAGATTTCAATGTCCATAGTTAAATTGTGTTCGAACACAACCACATTCATTTGTATATGTACTTTCTATGACTGCATTTATGCTACAACAGCAGAGATGAGTAGGTGTAACAGAGAATCTCTGGTTTGTAATGCTTAAAATATAAAGTAATTTACCATCTGGCACTTTACAGAACCAATTTGCTGACCTCTGGGTTAGAGAATAGGAAAGATTCAAGTAAAGTAGAGAAGAGAAATGACATTCATATTGAGAGGATTAATGCATTAGTCTGTTTCTGTTGCTTGCAACAAAATACCTGGAACTGGTAATTTGTTTTTTTTTTTTTTTTTTTTTTTTTTTTTTTTTTTCCGTGTTTGG